TGTTTCTAATCCCACCTAGGGATTAAAAACAATAATCCCTGATTGTTTTTAAGGGAAGAAGGAGGATAGGTCCCTGCCTCCAACATAGAGCATAGTCCAGTTCTTCTTGAGAAACTGGACTTTTATCATTAACATTTTGAATTAGAAGCCAACACAACATATCCTCATTCGAACAAAACTTTGGCCAGAAGTTTGAGGGTTTGAGGATGGGTCCATGAGTACAAATAAAACAGGAATATTGTATCATTTGTTGTTTTTTCTTATGTTTGGTCCTTTCATTATTCTTCCAGTTTTTTAACCTGAGACATAGAGGGTTATCAAGGGGAATATCTTTGTTACCATCTTTATCCATCTTGCTTGGAGTATTTTCCATATTGGGTCCTGGTTAGGCTCAGTCTCTCGTATCAGAAATGTCCTGCCTGCCCTTCTCTAGAGGCTTGCTAGGGCTATAAGACTCAGTTTCTCGAATCAGAAATGTCTTGCCTTTCCTTCTCTAGAGGTTTGCTAGGGCTATGACTCAATTTCTCATATTAGAAATGTCTCACCTATCCTTTAGCCTACACCTGCTGGAGACTCCTTGCACGTTTCTTGTGCTTCATCCATTCTGGCCATTCCCCTGCAGGAGCTCCAGGTCCCTCTTGGCGTCAGCATGCTGGTATAAACCCCATGGCAGGATCCACCCTAAGCTGTATGAGGTGGCCAAAGAACCGCAGATAGGACTCACTCACTCTGTGCAACAGTAGTGCTTAGTACCATTCACACAGGCAGCACCACAAGCAGGAGTGCTTGTGATCATTCACATGCACATTCAACCTCCAGAATATCCTGACCACCAAGGAAATACTTTGTGACCTTTATGACATTTCTTACCTTGGTCTGTGCACAGTTACCTAGTTGCTACAGTATGCAAGGATCCTTTCCCCCAGGTCACCGGCTGGTTTCTTTCCGCATTGCTCAGAGTCTGGGTTTATTCATCACACTGGGTGGGTCACCAGTCTCTCACCCTGAGACCACCACGAGGCAGTGGGACACATCTCCCCATGAGAGGTGACTGGAGACCCGTTCCCTGGAGGAGAATGGGGTTTTCATATGAGCCACCAAATTGTTAGAAGCAAATTTTCAGTGCTGCAAAAGAAATAGCACTCAAACATAAATTTTCTCAGCAAGGCAGTCTTTACTTCTATAGAAGGGTACATCTCGTGGATGGAGCAATGGTGAGATCACACCTGAACAGGGGAGGGGAAGGAGTTTGTCACAGGTCACCCCTATTGTTGTGTCATTCCCTTATTGGCTAGGATTGGACCACACAGTCTAGGCTAATTCTGATTGACTGTTTTACAGAGAGCATGGGTACAAGCCAGAGTAGCAGGGTAAGCAGTTTCTGCAGGAAAGATGGTTACAGAACTAGTGACTAAAGGTGATTGAGGTCAGAGCAGGTTACCAGAGGTGGCTCAGGACAGAGCAGGTGACCAGGGGTACATATATGAACTGCTGATTAGAGCTGGCGTTAAGGTTGTCTGCTGAAACTGGAGGCAAGGAGAGGAAGGGAATGTGAAAGTTAAACTTTAAAATGCACAACAAAGAACACAGAAACTGAACATACTGGCATACTGATTCTTTGAAGAGAAATTTGGAACTTACTATATTTAACAACTGGATAGAAAAAAATGTTTGATTTTTAGGAAACATATGTTTTTCCAAAGAAGCAAGTATTTTATTGTATCTTAGCATCTTAGTAAAACAGTAGCTTCTCCCAGAAGACATTTTTAATATCTGTGGTTGTCAGTAAGAATTTGATTAAAATATTATTTAAAGAATGGATTGAAATACAATTTAAATTCATAATCTAGAAGATAATATCTTTTTTCTGTAAAACTGCATTATTTAAAATGTAACTTTAATACTTGGCCTTTTCATATCCTTCATTTAAAAAGGGAGTACATTCCATATTTTAAGCACTGTATGAAATCTGAAATCAGAACTGTCCAAAAACTTTTCCTGGGTTCTTTATGCTTAAAAGTATTTTTATTGCTGTTTTGGTAGCGGTTGTCATTTCTACTGCCTTGACTGCTTTAATTTCATTACATTATTTTCTTCACTAATTTTATCCCTCCTAGGTACTCAGGTTTTTCTTATTTTATTTTGTTTTGTTTTATTTTATGAGACAGGGTCTCATTCTGTTGCCCGGGCTGGAGTGCAGTGACACATCTCAACTCACTGTAATCTCCTCCTCTGGGTTTCAAGCGATTCTTGTGCCTCAGCCTCCTGGGTACCTGGGACTATAAGCGCTCACCACCATGCCTGGCTAATTTTTGCATTTTTTAGTAGAGACAGGGTTTCACCATGTTGTACAGGCTGGTCTCGAACTCCTGACATCAAGTGATTTGCCCACCTTTGCTTCCCAAAGTGCTGGCATTACAGGTGTGATCCACCATACCTGGCCTTAATTTCGAAGCAACATGAAAGGTTCTCTTTTCTAAAATGTATGAAGCTGATTGTCACATGTCCTAAATTTGAGCCCTGCTTCTGCAGTTTTTTAGTTCTTAAAGGAAAATCATTTAATCCTCCATCTTTTTCTCTCATGATATGAGAGCAGACAAAATGAAGTCTACTCAGTATTTACAAGATTTGCTTCATGAGTCGTAGATACATTTTTAATGTCAGAGGAGTCATAAATCTTTTCACTTCAGCTTGCCCTGCCCTCCTTTTGATATAGGAGTTAAAAAGAAATTATTTAGGGAGTTAGCGAGGATAAAAGATTTCTCAGTGGAATTTTCCTTTAATAAAAATCAGCCCCAAATTATTTCTTTTCTACTAAAAAGCAACCTGAAAAATCAAGCTACAAGCATAAATAAGCAAACAGGAAGCTTGCTTAGGTAAATGCTGGCAGCTGTACCTGGAAGCCAGGTACATCCAACATGGCTATTTTCCACTCCCTTCCTTGTTGCCAGTGTGCAGGTGTCATGGCCCCACCAGTTGGAGGCCACATTTGTATAATAAAAGGTTAGGATGGGAGGGCCAGTCTTTTCTTAGGCTGTGTAAATGCACCTCTGGTCAAACCAATCCCCTGGGCCCTATGTAAATCAAACACTGCCTCCTCAAGCCCCTCTATGAAATTGACCACATCATGCCCCAAACCAAACCCGCTTGGGCGCCTCGCTTTCTCTGCACGAGGAAGCTCTGGCTCTCTTCTTTTATTTTCCTATTAAACTTTCTCCTCCTTCACCCACCCATGTGTGCCCATGTCCTTAATCTTCTGGGTGCACCATCTCCCCAGACAACAAAGTCACTTCACTTTGAGTCCCTCCCTGTATCACTTTACCTGTGTCTGCTCTCCTGGGTTAATCAGTTGGTGGCTGATAGGGGATTGGAATCTCTTCCTTTTCCTTTCCAGGTATGTGAACTTGGAGACTTCTGTACGTTGATTTTCTCTGAAAAGTTCTATTCAGTTCACCAAATGTATTTGAAAACCAGTGTTTACCAGGCCCTGTGATAGGCACCAAGGGTACAGAGATAAGAAACCTCATCTTTCTGTCCTTAATCTCAATTCTGACTCCAGTAGAGAAGACAGACAAATAACAAGTGATTTGTAATGGAGTGCTGAAATCATAACAGAAGAGTTAAAAGACTAGATAGAGGAGGAGGTGCTTCTCTCCCAAGGTTGGGAAGAATCACTAGCAGTTTCCAGGCTCCAAGTATGGGATGGACATGCATGCAAAGGCCCATTGGCACACAGGAACGTTGTATGTCCAGTAGTATTGCATGCACCCACAGCATAGGATATGTGTCAGGAGCCAGGTTTTGGAGTGTCCTACTTACGTGATGTGCTGAGCAATTTTTTAAACATATTATGAAAATTCAGATCACAAAAGTAAAGAATAATATAATGAATACCTGTGTACTCATCACCTATTTCATTATTCACCAACATTTTTCTGCTGTTGTCCATCCCTGCTGTCCCCACCCTGCTGTTTATCTCTACCATTTAAATGAAGGTGGCCAGCCAACAGAGTGACTGGCAAATAGTGGGCAAGCAGTGTATGTGAGTTCCTTGGCTTCCTTTGCTTCTGCATGGTGTAATCTATGTCCGATTCTCTTCCCCTTAGTTTCAACTCTAGTTCAAGTTGGATTTTCTTCTTCCTAAACTCATCAAGCAGAGAGAACTTTACTTTGACAAAGAATCTACTTTTCTTTTGAGCATTAGCATATGTGCAATTACTTTCTTTATCCCTATCAGGCCCTGGGGATAGTATATGGTGTACATTGATTTGAATGTCATGGCACCAGTTAATGCAGAGTTTTGTGCAGAACTGATATGCCATGTATTTATTAAAGTGACTTAAATTTCTAGCTGCTTCTCATATACTTGGTGTGTGTTCATCTTAAGGTCCAAATGTGGATATATATATATACACACAAAAGTAAAGAATATATATATATATAGTTATCTCTCTATTCTAATTTCTTCTGGAAAATAAGCTTTTTTACTTCTTCCTTCCCTTTCTGATAGAACATTTACATTTTTGGTTAGAATTTTATATTATATTTTTTTTATTTTAGTTAGATGGAGTTTTCCTCTTGTTGCCCAGCCTAGAGTGCAATAGCACAATCTTGGTCACTGCAACCTCTGCCTCCCAGGTTCAAGTGATTCTTCTGCCTCAGCCTCCTAAGTAGCTGGAATTACAGACACACCTGCCACCACGCCTAGCTAAATTTTTGTAATTTTGTATTTTTAGTAGAGACAGGGTTTCACCATGTTGGCCAGACTGGTCTTGAACTCCTGACCTCAGGTGATCCCCCCACCTCGGCCTTCCAATGTGCTGGGATTACAGGTGTAAGCCACCATGCCAGGCCAAATTTTAATTTTTTAAATAGTTTGTATTTAATGTTTCAAATCATTATTCTGTTTTGGGGCCAGTACAGTGAATTAGAGCTAATGCATTTAGAAAATATGAGGGATCAAATTATAAAACTAACCTTTGCTTCTGTTTCTTCTCCAGGGCCTGCTCTCTTTTTTGAGTGCCCCACTCATAGGTGCCCTGTCTGATGTGTGGGGGAGGAAGCCCTTTCTCCTCGGCACTGTATTCTTTACCTGCTTCCCAATCCCACTGATGAGGATCAGCCCATGGTGAGTGACTTGGCCCTTCAGTATCCTGATTGCCTGTTTTGAGTCACATGTAAATTATATTTGCACAGCACTTCTTAACCATTACAAAAACAGTTGTAATTGTGTTTTCCTTTGATCTCTCTTGTAATATTGAAAGCCAGTTTGGACATTTGTCATTATATCCATTTTATAAATGGGGAGGGGAAGACAATGTCTGAGATAATTTACTCAGGTGAAGAAATAGAAATAAAAGATGCCTCTTCAGGCAGCTGATGTTGCCATGATGTCAGGTATGAGAGCTTAACCCTGAGAGTGGGCTAACAGTCCCCTGTCTTCAACACTGTGGCTCTTAGTTGACTTTTTAAATATATTACTTTTGCCAGCCAATTGCTATGGGGCACTGACATGAACATAGTTTATATCATAATAGGTGGAGGTCACTTTAAAATATAGTAAGGCTGATATGATAGCCTGTTTTAAATCATAATATGATTTTGAATTTGAGTTCATTTTTTTTTCCTTTATTTATTTTTTTTTTTTTTGAGACCAATTCATGCTCTGTTGACCAGTCTGGAGTGTGGTGGCGCCATCTCAGTGGCTTATTGCAACTTTCGCCTCCCACTTTCAAGCAATTCTTCTGCCTCAGTCTCCTGAGTAGCTGGGACTACAGGTGCCCATCACCATGCCTGGCTAATTTTTGTATTTCTAGTAAAGATGGGGTTTCACCATATTGGTCAGGCTTACTTTCAACTCCTGACTTCAGCTGATCCACCTGCCTCAGCCTCCCAAAGTTGGGATTACAGGCATCTGGCCTGACTCATTTTTTTTCCTTCTATATAAATCGGGAGAGTATTTAGCATGTGACCAAAGCTCACAGGAATTTTCCTGTGAGCAGTAACTTAGTTGTTGTTTCTGGATAACAGTTGTATTTTGGTGTGTATTCCTATTGCAGAAATGTTCTTTCTTATGTGAAGAAAATACTTACATAAGAAAGTATGGAAGTTTCATTTTGGTTTTTAATACTACTAATTTTCTTTTTTGGCTCATGTTAAAATATTTTCATTTCATTATTTGATAGGAATTTCATGTTAACATCACATTCTAAATTTATTGGGTACTCATAGCCATTTTATTTTCTACGAGTTGATGCATTTTTTTGGTATTGAGTCTTTATGTCTAAGAAGATGGCATGCTTTTCCAATGAGTTGGGACTTTTTTATGTCCTTTTTTTAATTTAAGATTTTTTCTTTGGATCTTGTACATTTCTTAAATTTTGTTTCTATAAATTTTATCCTTTTCGGCTATAACATGAGCTCTTCTAATTGCTTGGTTTTCTAGATATATTGAATATGTCATCTGTAAATAATTTTATCTCTTTCTTTCCAGTTTTCCTACTGCTCACTGCTTTTGCTAATTGCTTTGACTAATGAATATTAGTAAATCAAAGGGATGATTTGAGACTTATCTTCTTCTTGTATATAAAGGGTGTATTGTAATGTTTTGTCATTAGGTGTTAGGCTAGTTTGTAGACTAAAAAATATTCCTGTTGTATCCGCAGATTTTTAACAAAGCATTAAAATTATATGCTAGATCTTATTTTCTCTTTAGAGCTATTAAAATGAATATATTAATGGATTTGTAAATGTTAAAATTTTTATATATCCTGGAGTAAACCCCACTTTTTGATCTATAAGATTTTCTTTGTTAATTTTTAACTAGGTTTTTTAAAAGCATCTATCATATGATAGAAATTTTTGGTCTTAATTACACTAATATTTTTTGTTATGATCTCTGCTTTTATGTAGATCTTTTCAAATCATTTGTTGTATGTCTTTTTCTTACTTAAAGCTAGGATATTTGAGAAGTTTTTTTTTTCCTGTTGGCTACTTTTAAAAATATAACTTTTACCTAATCCCCTTAATCGTTTTTTTCTTCTGATTCTTTTTTTTTTTTTTTAGGCTGCATGTACTGACCCCCTTTGAACAATGTTGAAATTAGTATGTTTCTACTTCTTCCTCTCTATCTTAAATTTTTTTGGGTATATTTAAGTATAAATATATATACAAGTATTCTTATTTCTTGGTGTGTAATCTTTACATGATGTCTTTGGCTCAGGTAATAAAAGTGTACATACACTCCCTTTCTCTTGGGTCATTAAAATAATCTTTTTATAGGTGGTATTTTGCAATGATTTCTGTGTCTGGAGTCTTCTCGGTCACGTTCTCTGTTATATTTGCCTATGTAGCTGATGTCACTCAGGAGCACGAGCGAAGTACAGCTTATGGATGGGTAAGATAATAGACTATATTTTTTTCCCCAGAGTAGTAATTAAGAATGTATTAGAAATTCACTGGAAAGTGAGTGTATTAGTCCTTTTTTGCACTGCTATAATCTGAGACTGGGTAATTTATAAAGAAAAGAGGTTGAATTGTCTCACGGTTCTGCAGGCTATACAGGAAGCATAGAGCCATCGGCTTCTGGAGAGGCCTCAGGGAGCTTTTACTCATGATGGAAGGCAGAGCTGGAGCAGGCATCTTCACATGACCAGAGTAGGAGGAAGAGAGGGCGAAGGGGGAGGTGCTACACACTTAAACGGACCAGATCTCACAAGAACTCACTATTACAACCAAGGGAGGTGGGGCTAAACCATCCATGAGAAACTGCCCCCATGATCCAGTCACCCTGTACAAGGCTCCACCTTCAACATTGGGGATTACAGTTGAACATTTGAATTTAAAAAAAAAAAATTAGTCTGATTTGTTTGTTGTTATCAGATCCCCTGAGGAACGTTAAATGTTAAGCAGTCAAGGTACACAAGTCTTTGTGCACCTAATTTGAATTGGAGACGTGCTGAACCTCAGCAATGTTAATCCATTGTTACTCTATTGACTCTATTGGTGGTTGTGCGTTTTGGACGTACATTTGGAACGTGATAGGTAGAAAAGGACTACATTCACTCATTCATCAAATAGTTGCTCAATAACAAAAGTTATAGGAGACCTTTTTTCTGATAATTTCACACCAGTGTTTCTAATTTTCTCAGGCATGCTAATGGTGTTATGGTTATGTAGAAGAAAGACTTCTTAGAAGATGGCTCAAGCATTTTACATCAGTGTCAGGACTCTTCAGGTTACTTTCGGATGGTTCAGCAGGAAAGATAGCATAGCATATTGATGTGGATATGGATGCACATGTGTGGGCATACACCTGAACCTGTGAGACATGAAGTATGCTTTGTATTCTCCCATCTTGCTCTGTGTTTGAAAATATTCAGAATAAGAAGATGGAAGAAGAAAGATGATCTCACCAAGTTGTGGGGAATTAGGTGGGAGAGTGAATAGTAGGGAGATTGAATGCCAGAAACTCAGGTTATTTAATCTCCTTTTCCTGAGTCTTTTTCTTTTAAATCTACTTCATGGAGTAGATTAAGTTCTCATTCATTGCTGACTGAATGAATAACTTCCTGAATCAATGATGGGCATATAAATGAGTTACTGTTCCACAAAACACAACAATTTTTACTTTGCTGACTTCAGACATCAGTAGTTTGAAACCTACTCTTTCATCCCCACTTGTGACTCTTCTGCCTTCTCTCTCTGTTTGCTTCTTCTCTCCACTCCTGAATGTCCCCTTCATGCCATGCCCTAAAACAGGGGCATCTCTAGAGCCGTGTTGGAGGACAGAGATAGAAGCTGATTGGAAGTCCTCAAAGAAGACAGGATTTTGGGCTCACTCATGAACACCAAAAAGAAAAACAAAAAATTTCCCCCAAAACCCCAAAAATTAACAAACAGCCCCCCCAAAAAACAAAAAAAGAAGGGAGGTTGTTCATGTTCAAGGTGTGCCCATAAGGCTTGGCCAACAGAGTAGTGGGGGATGGCTTTCTTCTACAGCATGGGAACTACCTGTTGAGATATTCATTTTTCTGCAATTTTATTGGATTTTTGTTCCTCACTTTCAGCTGGAAAACCATTCACATAGCTGTTGTGCTGAGGAGTAGTAGTTTCAGGAAAGATTTCAGAGAGAGAGTTCTAACCAGTAGGTGTGGACTTAATTATCCTCTCCAGCTCAGCTCCTCGTTGTATATTGGCAGTTAGGATTCATGTCTGCTCATAGGGGCACTGAGAGAAATCAGTGAACGTGCATATCCAGACTGAGACAACACTCAGTTGAAGTGTGCTCCCAGCCAACTAAGCAACTTGGCATGCAAGGCTGCCTGGATTGCAGTCTACTTATCTTCCAGATATAGGAGAATTTGTTGCCAATTAATTACCGGATATGTCAGTCAAGTTCTAAGGAGCATTTTGAAATCCATTAAAGAACAATATAAAATATGTGCACCTTCCTTACTGAAACGTCTTCAGTAAACTAAGAAAATGCTAATTATTTCAGGACTGCAGCAATGATTAGTCATATTAATAAGTGAGTTAACACTAAGAGTTTGTTGTGGTGAAGTCATTCTTTAGATATATTCATCAGAGTTGTATTGAATGTTAAGTGAAAGAGGAGTTTAGATAAAAACACAAACTAAGCAAGTAGGCTGCTTTAGGCTTTAAGATAGACACATTTTGCATAGAATTTCATGAGGCCATAAACTCTTTCATACCTGAAAGATGCTGCAGCAGTGCTCCCATAGCGCCCAAGGATGCTTCAGCAGTGCCTCCTTAACACCTGAGAAGAGTGTAGGAGTGTTCCCATAACTGTTTGCATGTTGTTGCAGTTTATAATGCAGTTATTTGGTTGCCCTGATGTTCTTACATATATAGGATTGTTGAAGCAGGAAGACCTGAGAACAAGAGCTTTGTCTTCTTCATCTGGTACATAGTAAATATTGAATGATTTCTGTTCCCCCAGTTGGAATTCTCCACATTCTTTTATCCCTCCAAAAATGTTTGATTTTTAGCTTCTGTAGTACTTTTAGTATAATACTAATTTCAGATATATTGTGTTTTTATATTCAGTTGGGAGATGATGGATAAAGAAAGAATGTCATTGGCTTGCCAGAATTCTTCTGATTTCTAATAAAATCCATTAGAAGTTTAAAAAGCTAACTTAAAGATATGCTTTTGACATTTAGTGTGGAATTACAATTTGGAGTTTGCCAAGTAAGCATCTGAACATTCAGGCTGTGTTCTAAAATAAAGTGGACAGTTCACATGCTTATACGAATGCAATGTGCAGGGGCTCACTGTGGCTTCAGGTTGTGGGTGTGCTCAGCTGACTCTGTGGTCTTTATCTGGACAGGGTCAGGTGGTGGCAAGAGAGACAGAAATCTACATCTGCGTAGTCAAAAAGCTTTAACTTCCATCTCAACAAATTCTTTTTTGTTGTTAGAGTTTTTTCACTAAGAATAACAGAGGGTTTTCCTCCCTTCTCAATGCTAATGAAATGACCACCAAATGATAAAATGTTTAAACAGTGCAGTATTTTTAGAAGATGAAATCAAGCACAGTCCCTGCCTAATTTGTGGATTTTATCAGTCCTGCAGGAATTTTTTTCATACTGTCTTACATCCCCAGCCCCCAGTTAAAGAAGACCAAAGAGCTGATGTTTTATTTGTGGGGAAGGTTTTTACAGTTTTTATTTTTAATAAGATAATCATTTTTTACTCTTGTAGCTCTGCAGGGTATCTTCAGTTAGTTAATAGTTTGTGAACACATTCTTAAATGAAAATTCTCTTTCATTCTTAAAATTTATATGCAGTACATTTCTTTTGTCTTACTTAAAGCCGGGAAAGCATGGCTGCAGGTATGCACCTGTGGGATCCTGGTTGAATGTGCTTTCCTGAAGGTGTGCACCTGCAGTAGGCGGGATCTGGGTAAGGATATGCTTTCCCCACGGGCGTTCACCTGTGGGACCCTGGGTGAGAGTGTACTTTCCCACAGGTCTCAGCCACCTTTGCAGCTAGTCTTGTCAGCAGCCCAGCCATTGGAGCATATCTTTCTGCCAGTTACGGAGACAGCCTCGTTGTGCTGGTGGCCACAGTGGTGGCTCTTCTGGACATCTGCTTCATCTTAGTGGCTGTTCCAGAATCTCTGCCTGAGAAAATGAGACCAGTTTCCTGGGGAGCTCAGATTTCTTGGAAACAAGCAGATCCTTTTGCGGTAAATAAAAATATTGAAATATTTACTTTCCTAAATGTCTTTTTAAGCCAAACAAATATATATATATATAGCCTCAAGGGTCCTAGCAGTTGTTGACTCATTTCTTTATCTAGTAAAAATAGAAAAAAAAATTAATTACAAGTAAGGGATTTAGTGTTTGTATTAAGAAATATATAGAATTGGTACTTAAGCATGTCATTAGGAAAGAGAGAAAATGTCTAGCTAATTCTTGAAAGTTTGGGAAGAAAATTTCTTTTTGCATGGCTGTTTTCATCCTTTTTAAACAAAATTAAGTGAAAGTGGTCATTTTCACTCAAAAAGGATAAATGCCTTTGGTTTGAATGAGTTATTTTAATTTTGACCAAAGACATTGAATTTGTATGTTACAGATTGAATATTGTTTTTTTTTTTTTTTTTTTTTTTTTTTTTTTTTTTTTTTTTTTTTTTTTTTTTTTTTTTTTTT